TGATACCATGTTTGGATGCTTTCGAAAATGTTCGCAGTGAGAGTGGCTGCAGTCATTGCTGGCGTGGTTGTTGTATGCTTATTTCTGCTTCCATATGAGGACAGCTGGTGTATGTGTGACGTACGTTATTGCTTTCTGTTGTTTTCCGGGTGTCTAAAATTACTGAGTTACATGAATATGAGAATACGGTGTGCTCATACGGTGAACTAACATTGTTGAAAACGATGAAAAACTTGTATGCAGTGTAATTGCTAGCATCACAACAATAACGACCAAAACTTAAGCATTCAAGGCTAACGCAAAGGTAGCTTAAATTATACGCTGTGTGTCCACAGAACACAATGTCACTGGCCATCATTATAAAACCTCTTACTGCGAAGCCGGCTGGAGAATCATTAGGTTTTCAAGATGCAGTATCTTAACTGTTGTGAATAGAGCATCGAAACTTAGTGGCCTTTGCTAAATATTCATCTTCCAAAGCAAAACAAGAGAACCGTTCCAAAAATATCACGACCATTGCGTGTCCGTTAGTAGCTCTAGAACAGACTAATCAGATAATTTTTAAAGGAATAGCCTGCTTTTTCGTAAGAAAACAGTTAAGCTTAAATTGCTCATTTTGCTTCAAGGCAAGATGCCTGATTTATTTATTTTGATTTAAAAAAGAACAAACGCAAGGAAGCGGCAGGGGAACACGACCAGTGCTGGTCAACCACGTGTTTTCTTGTACTCGTCTGCTATGTACATGCACATGAAAATGTGCATGGCCTCTGTCAGGGGGACAGGGGAGGCTGATTTCCCAGCTTTAGGAGACAGAAGGTTGCGGCGCCTGGGCACTGCATGGAATAGAGACGTTACAAAAATTGATGTCTCCAAAGAACTTCCCATCAAGGAGCCTGTGTATACCACCCCGTCCTCCCTCCCCAACTTACTCACACATATGCACACGCCCTCACACGTTCACACAAGGGGAAGCGGGGAAAACTGAACTCTCCATACACACAGAATGAACTCGGCGTCCTCTTGTAGTGCGCAAATATTTTGACGCGTCTCGCAATGCAAACTGCATTGCAATATGCAGTTTGGGGATATGCAAACTTACGCCGGGCTACATCATGTGCCCACCTCCTGGCATGCCTAGCCACCACTTTCACAGACTCGCATCATTGTGAAGTTAACGCAGCGGTTGTACCGGGTGTACTTTGACATGCTGGGTTCGGAGGCAACCTTTGCAAATGCCGGTTATGGTTTTTCTTCAGAATGTGGGGACAATACTCGATAGCACAAAGGAAGTCAAAGATTGACCAAATACCGAAGAATGGGTGACAGAAAGTAAACAGAAATTCAGGACGGAATATTTATTCATTTCGTCGTTTTCCCTCCCTGTACTGATTAGAAAAGACTTTTATTTTTTAATTTGTTTGAATCCCGTCTGCTTGGCTGTGATGAGCAACGGCATGACCATAACTGGGCCAAGCGCGGCGACCAGCCCGACGTCATAACAACCATATTTTGCCCTGTTTTATTTTCCTACTGCGCTTCAAATGGCAAGCGTTCCTTTCGTTTTATAGTCGGTGAAACGAGTTCCGGGCGGAATAATTTTTAATGAGCACCATCAGAGCCATAAGGTTACGACAGACCGGCCGGAAAAAGTCTGAATGCCGCCGATACAGCCAGAGAATCGCCTTGCAATCACAGAGGCAAAGCAAATGCAAAACAAGACCGAAACAAACACAAAGCACCCTCATATACGATCAAGCAGACAGCTGCGTGTCTTCAACGCGTGCATTGTTCCGGGACATCGTGTTGGAATGATGCCAGTCCAGCAGTCAGATTATGACTTCGTCAGACATCTGTAAGGTCGTGACCTGTCTGATCCCGGTCATGATATCCGTGACGTTGTGACCTGTCAGATCCCGGTCATGATTCCTATAAGGTTTGTGACCTCTTTGAACCCGGTCATGACACCTGAAAGGCTTGTGCCCTGTCATGTCCTGTTCTCGGCCGTACTCAGAATGCCCCGAGGCTGCACCGCCCGAGGTCTGAACCCTGAGGCGGGAACCGCGAATAATTCCCAGCTGCACGACGAGGGAAGGCAATTTAGTATGTTGGAAATAACGGTGATCTACGCATCGCTCCACATTGCTATATTGTGGCGATATTGGCAAAACTTCGTGCGGAAGCATCTGCTTTATCACATGCTCAAACTAAGTCATATGAAGAAAGTGTGCGTGTTTTCTTCATAACATGGAATGCAGTATTATACGTCTATCTCGGCCGCAAACAAGTCAAAGCAGCGTTAAAGCTCGGACAATCCTGATGAAATCCGCTATTCTCGTTATCACTAACATCCGAACGCAAACAGTTTTCAATATCTGTCAAAAAATGAATACCTAATCAGGACAGGATTGTTGTCAACACTGTGCGAACCACTTCATTCCATGTTGTGCAAAGCAGATTTACGCATTCCGTATATGCAGCGGTCTGATCCTATCACAGTATATCGTAGCATTACGATGCAAAGAAGTTCTATGTTTGCACGCTAAATGTGACAAATGAGTGATCTGTGTTCACATCTTAGGGAGTGACAGGATTGCCTCAGCTGATCCTGCAGAAAGTTCGCAGTGACCTTACAGCGCATTCTGGAGCGCTATTTCGTGCGGATGAAGCCATTTCCACAAGGATGTTACAACTTTAGACTTATTTCCCCTCCATTTACTTGTTTCGAAACAAAAAGCGCACACCCTCACCCAGAAAACGTGCGTCGGAAAGCTCGCGGAGAGCTAAACGGTACGTGGCCACGTGTTACGCAGTCCGAACATCATTCCCTCGTTCCGTCTGGTCCAGCTACCGACGTCGGACGCGTGTCCCGGCCGCCAGCCCGTCGCCACGCTCCGACGGCCGTGCACCGGGGCTCCGAAGCTCGCTCTCCTCGCTCGCATGGCTCGCAATCGGCCAGCGCCAGACGCTGCCGCGCCCCGAACCGCAGCCGAGCCGGCCGGCCGACCGGCCAGCCGGGGCCGCCGGAGCGCCGCGCCGCGACGGTACCGTCGGTAACGAGCCCGGGCGGCGCCGCGACGCTAATGACGCGCTCCGCATTGTCGGCGGCCGCGCAGCTGGTGGCCGCCGGCGCGCCGTAATCGGCCCGCTGGCCGGAAGATACTTGCGCACAGTCGTCCGAGCGCAAGATACATTAGTGTCCCGGCGTCCGGTGTTTGATTTATTTAGTGGCGCCCGAGTGGTGGAGGGGCGCCCCGGCTGCCCAGCAAACGATTCTGTTACGCTCGGTGGTGTTTGAGGAGCGGTCGCGGACAGGGGGCGGCTGCTACGGATGATCGCGCGGGGCGGACGGCCATGGCTGACCGATGCTGCGGCACAGGGCAGCAGGCAAGAACATACGTTGTCTGCCATTTACATAATGTTCGGTAGCCGTGCAGATCTAGATGGGATAACCGCTTCACGTCTAGTTACACAGTCAATAAGTGCAGATAGCGGGGTGGAAGTGTAGGAAGAGGGGGGGGGGGGGGAGCAGAGGAAAAATCCTTCCTATGTCTGCTCGCCTGTCGAAGCTGATGACGGCGGTCCTGTGCGTTTACAATGTACACCGTCTGCACCGTGCGCGTACACACCACACCACATGACTTCATTCGAGTCGATTTGCGTATCGACCTGTTCGTTAGAAGCTGAAATAGCGCATCTTAAGAGACTTCCCCACAGTTGTAGCGAATCTGAGGAAAGACAGACATTTTAAAGATCATGCAATGCATTTCACAGCCTTGCCCCTTTCAAGACTTTAAAACTTAAAACCGCCGTCTTCCTGAGCTTGCCGCCCGCAAGTTTAAGCGGAATTTTTCGTGCTGACTATTTCAAGGTCGCCCGGACATGCATGACGCCATAGAAAAATCACACGAATACCGCCACCTCAGTGGCCATGTAGCGCTCAGGGTCAAGCAAAATATGACTATTGAATTGTTCATATTTTGAGAACGTCAGCACGATTCGTGAAATCAACGGACATCCGTTGGCCTTTAAACAATTAACAGCGTTGAGTGCATCCTTTGAACACACTGGTTAATTGGCTAGTTGAGTTGTAATTACTGGCTATTATGGCCATGGGATCATATGGGATCGTATGGGATCGTAATCATGGCTATGGGATAAAGGAGAATGGATAACGTTAGGGGCAGAGATACGTGCACCTAGGAAGCCAACCATCGAGACTAAGCCTGCACAGTGACGTCTCTGTGAGGTGTGTGCTTGTCGCTCGGACGGGTGTTCCCACCAGGGGACCTTCGGCCCTCTCATCCTGGCGCGAAGCGGCCTGCCCAGGATAAGCGGGGCGTCGCGATGATGCAGGATAAAACAAGACGTAGAATAAAAGGGCGGATGCTCGAACAAGAATCACGTTTTGTGCTACATGATGTACGAATTTGTACAGTGGTCCGAGTTAGGACGGAAATAAGACTGGGAATCGAATAATTTAAAAATAGCGCAATAACCGAGTATGTGAATGAAAGTAAACAACTTATCAAAGGCATCTGTGCAAAAGAGCTACAAAAAAGACCAAAGCATGACTTCATTAGTTACAAGTGAGTCTTTTGATGCTCTCTATTTGGATTTGAGTTATCCATAGGTTGTTTCAGCAAAACCTCAGGGGCAGCACAAACCTCTGCTTTCTGCGAAGGTTAAACGGCAAAAGATTAGCTGCTCCTTTTACAAGATATAATGAACAAAATATGCGCTGATAGTGAATTTTCATTAGACTCGGTGAATGTCACCGATGACGATCGGAAAAGCGACTAAGCGTCCATATAGCGACTATAGCGACTAAACGTCCATAATCGGCATGCCATATAGCTTAGCATATAACAGGAGAAACATTTTATGGTCTTACCTGATTAAGCCAGCAATTGGTAGTCAGGATTTGATTCCTTTCGTCCTGAAACACAATAATTCCATGCTCAAACAGCGCTTAAATTTCAAATACCTAAACACAATGCCCATCACATGTTAGCATGTGTCAACAAAATGAGCCACATGATAGCTGAAACGGCACAAGTGTGACAAAGCATGCTTCATCATTTATTTGCAAACAGGATACTGATGTTCCTGAATGATTTGCACCAACGCACACCACTAACATGAACGGTTCCATAGACTTCTCAGGATACAAAAAGAACTATAGAAAATTATTGAGACTAGCATTATTGCCATCACGAGCCGTTTACACAACAATCTGGAAATAAACACCTCTGGACATTTGATCGAGCTGCGAGGACATATACACGTTTAAGCCCGCAACCATACAAACCGAGCCATATCGGCCGCCGCCAGTCCGATAGCGGGCATTGTCTTAAGCCACGGACACCGCTGAGTAAGCATTGTGCATATCACGTCGATGATCTGGGTGAGGGCCATGTGCATACCACGTCGATGATCTGGGTGAGGGCCATGCCGAAGGTCACGTTGAGCGGCTGGGAGGCGGCGTGGGAGGGGCGCACCGACTTGTCGTACCCGGCCAACAGGTAACGGATCAGCCGGTACTCGTGGTCATCGCACGCGCCTACGTCAACTGTAACCACACGTACAGTATGAGCAGAATAGGTTACCAACAGGTGACAGATTAAGCGGAACTCAAAGTCGACGCGTCCTCACGGACCCGCTGAAATTGCATGTGGACAAATTCTGCGCTGTGCATCGTCAACAGGTAGCAGATTGGCAAGAACATGCTGTCATTTGTATTTTATACATTTAGGTCAAATGAAATGCACTTTCAGTGCCGTACCTATCGTGCCTTGCATCGTCATGTGTTGATTACAGTGGCGATCATAGCTATCGCGCATGCCGAAGTAAGCTAAATTGTATGAAAAGTTGCTGTCAGCTCAAAAGACACGCATAATGTTTGGTGGAATGAAACTGGAAATATCAGGTAGCATGCACAGGTATCAGGCGGCATGGATGAGTTCCAGACTAACGTAACTCAATGCGTTTGAAGAACGTGTTGCGCGCTGGGAGCACCTCTTACGCGTGGAATTCTGCATGCCTGTGAACGGTTTTTCGAATAGACGGCATGTACCGTACATTTGCACGTTCTTAATTTAATTCAAATTGGGAAATTTGTTCTGCTGTGTTCAAACCAGGGTATGTGTTCAGAAACCAGGGAGCGCAATTCAGCTTGGGCTAAAGGGTTCTACTCCCAAAACATAGCCAAGTTTAGGCTGGATTAAGGGGCGTAACACGATGCGTGTAATTTTCTGGGGCGTAACACAGACATCTAGCATGAAACACATGGCACTCCTCAAGCTCATGACTTCCCCGTCCAGAATCAGTGCGTAGCAAACATGCTGGAAGTGCCACTTCTTCTGTCACTGCTGGCGGTCGCCACGGTTTCCGACCTCGCGCCTCTTCCAGGCGGCAAGAAGTACCGGGAGCGGAAGATTACCAAAGTGATCATGGAGGAGCACCCGGTGATGCTGCTCGGTGAAAATGAGCTGCGGCGACTCGAGCCCTACTTCGTAAAGCAGGCCTGGAACTGGCAGCAGCTGTACGACAGGGCCTGCACGCGGAATCCACATCCGGGCGGCTGCTCCCGCTCGCTCACCCGCTGGTTTTTCTACCCCACCTTCAGCAAATGCTACGCGTTCGTTTACGGCGGATGTGGCGGCACGGCAAACCGTTTCTCCACGCAGAAAGAGTGCCTGAAGAGCTGCGTGCCACGGCAACTGCCACTGAGCCCTCCGCCCGTCATCGAAGAGCCGACGCTGGCGCCGCCGCCCGACTCCGACCAGCTCAACGGCCTGCTGGCTAGCAACGACAACGAGACGATAAAGGCGGTGCAACGGTTGGCTGAGCCGTTCACCACACTGCCGACAACCAGCGGTGCCTCCAGCGGCGCCCCCAGCGATGCCCCGGTCACGTCGACTCAGGTCAAGACCAGCACCAAGGCACAGGCGACGGCCGTCACCCCCAAGCCCGCCGGGTCCAAGGCCAAACGCGAGTTTCCACACGCTGATGCGCTGAGTAAGCGTGCGGAAGGGCCGGCTGATTTCCAGGACATGAGCCTTGTTGATAGGATTATTCTGTAGTGATGGAAAGTGTGTTATTTTGGTATATATGAATGGTAAGATGACATCAAGCAAGCATGCTCTTTTAACGCTGCGGTGTACCAGGATTGTTTCATGTCGGAACTGCGTGGTGGCTTTGATATCCATGCCTGAGGCATTTGAGGACGCCACCTAATTAATACGAAGCATCCTGATTAGGATTTGACACCAGGTGACATTTCACATCAAGACGTGACTATTGCGTGTCATTTGTCAGAGAGATGAAACACTAAGTTAAAAAGGAATGACAAGGATAAGCACATATGAACACGTGCATGTACAAACAGCAACAGACAGCCCTATTGAAAAAGAATGACTTCGCAGCGCGCTAAAAATTGTCAAATTCAGCCGAGTCACTTCCACTGGCAATCCTTCCGGGGACAAGCCCCTTGGCGTGCAAAATACCGCTGCTCTGCCGTCACGTGCGCCAGCGGTGAAAAAGTTTCCGACTTATCTGATATGATCGCTGACAAAAACGGACACTTTTGTAAGCCAATGCGTGACAAAATCGCAAAAATAGCAACAAATTACACCAGACCGGGCCATTTGAACCGTCCCAGTTAGGTGAACCCTAAGGTTTAGTAGTTGTCTGCACTCGCTAACGCTTGCAGCGCAAGCTTGTACAAACGCACGTCAAAACGCTGACGTTTTGCTGTATGAGAAAGTTGAGATACGAGATGTTTCCAAACATAAAACCCTTAGTCAGGATAGTTCTTAGCAGCTGACAGAAAATAATGCAAACTGTACTTTATTAGTGCTGATGTACATATTTGTGGTGAAACATTTTTTCCAATACCCCTCAGATCAACGCTTTTCACAGCTATTTCAGCCAAGATTCACTTCACTTATTAAAAAGCATAAAAAACATAAAAATAGCCTTACTACTAGTCATTAAAATGGTAGCTGGCTATCGGATATTGCGACGAACGTGATCAGTTTGCTACCTGGTGTTGTGAAGCATCGTGCCAGTTGAGACAGATGGGCTCGAATGCTCGCCACATGACAATGCGCTGGGTTCAGTGCAAGGCTGTGAGCTGCCGTTGACTGTGTTCGTGCCGCGATAAGCTGACTGGCTTGAAGAACAGAGCTTATCGTGAGTTGTTTCTAGGTGCTGTTTGGCTTTTCTAAGGATCTGCCATGGAGTGTGCCCCTGGTAAATCCCCTGCCGATCCAAGAGTGTCGTAGTTTGTGAACACCCGAACTGTGGCTTCAGAGGTCACCGGAGGACGCTTCGCCGCTGCCGTGCGCTGCTGAGGGTGCAGGTTTTGCTCCATGCGGGTAGAACAGCCGCAGGTCGGCGCGTCGGCGAATGTTCAAAACATACGGGCCCGATCCGCAGGTTGTCTTCTCTCACGGGCTTTGTGCGCATTTTACACGGCGCACATTTGGCTGGGCGTGGCAAAGTGCAGGTCATGCCGTGCGCGAGACGCGTAGTCATACTTTCAGAGGCCAGTAACTACTTTGGTAGTGAAGGTAACTACTTTCAGCAGTCTGGTGTCTCTAACAGTTGATCCCTGGTTGTAAGCTGAATTGCAGCATCTCACGTGTGAGATCACTCTGTGCGATGGTCAGCAGCAGTGGTTGTGGAAGGAACTGTTTCAGGTGGCGGACACCGATCAGACCGATTGATGTGCTTTTGGTCTACATCATTGGCAGACGTGTGCCAGCAAAGGTGAGGGTCAAATACCATAGCATGGGGATCAAGAGAGAGAGAGAGAGAGAGAGAGAGAGAGAGATAGAGAGAGAGAGAGAGAGAGAGAGAGAGAGAGAGAGAGATAGAGAGAGAGAGATAGAGAGAGAAGAGAGGGAGAGAGAGAGAGATAGATAGAGAGAGCGAGAGAGAGAAGAGAGAGAAGATAGAGAGAAGAGAGGAGAGAGAGAGAGGAAGAGAGAGAGAGATCCAATGACTCTCATAAATACTCGGATGGCGCACCCGTTGTCAGCGCTGCGAGGACAGTTGGGCCGCCCGTTTCCCCATGTCGAGCTGCCGAGGACAGCGGTCGCCCGTCCCATCAGCGTGCGAGGACAGCTCGGCGCCCGCCCCATCAGCGATGCTGAGGACAGCTCGGCGCCCGTTCGCGCCATAATCAGCGCTGCGAGGAAGCTCGGCGCCCGTCCCCATCGCGCCTGCGAGGACAGCTCGGCGCCCGTCCTTGCGTCAGCGCTGCGAGGACATGCTCCGGCAGCACCGTCTGCGTCAGCCGGCCCGCGGTTGCTCATCCCAGAAACACCAGCACACTGTCGCCCCGGCGCTTCTCACGAGCCGGCAGCCACGGCGGCGGAACGTCTTACAGTGCCCATGAGCGTCATCTGACTGGAAATTCATTGCCCGCAACACGACACATCGAGCCGAAATATGGCCCAGTTTCAGTCTTGTGCCCATTCGTTTCCAATCCTTTTAGTATGTGGAGAGGGGATAATTATGATGATTGGTGGATAAATTATAGGACAGCGACCTAATTTAGTAGCAGATCTGAAATGCACGAGTAGCAGGAGGAGCGAAAAAACCCATAGTTTGTCGGAGGGCCTATCAAAATGATTGGTAAATTTGCTCTGAAAGCGGTCTTACTTTGTCATCTTGTATAAATTCGCTATTTTATGTCTGCGGATTAAGTTCCATGGGAGCACATCACTGAGCAGCACAAACATGAAATTACGAATTTGTACATGTTGATGAAAAGATTGCCTCTAAATTAAAACTAGTTTTCAAAGCAATTTAGATAGCCCTAATGCTAAACCAAGGCTCTCGCTGCTCCATATTCCGATGTCCTTGCATCCCAAAATTGGTACTTGAGTGTATTCCTGTCTTATAGTGTTAGCGTGGAAAAGGAAACCAGCGAAACCTCATTCGAGCCCGGCTACATCAGAACTGATTCTGTAGCAGGTGAGATTTCTCTGGAGCCAAGCACAATTTTGGATATGCGTAAACGTTGATTACTCATCAGCCCATGTCATAGCAGCCAGCGAACATCAGACATCAGCCAGCGTGATTTTCTCTGCATGAATCCAGCGAGATTTGCTTCATTTCCAACCCTGCCGGATCTCCCTTTCCCCATCCCTACGATGTACATCACACGGACGGGGCTTGTCTTCTGCAGAGTGTCACCAGGAGCCCCGCCTAGTTCCGACTGGCGATCGGCGACCCCTGTCGGCCACGTCCCGCCGGCGGATGCAGCTATCACGTGGCATGCGTCTCTACCCGGTTGACCACTCCTTGAGCTCGTTCCCCGGTCGGCCACTCCCTGGCTCGTTCCCCTGTCGGCCACTACCTGGGCTCTTTCCCCGGTTGACCACTCCCCGGGCTCGTTCCTCGGTCGGCCACTCCCTGGGCTCGTTCCCCGGTCGGCCACTCTCTGAGCTCGTTCCCTGGTCGGCCACTCCCTGAGCTCGTTCCCTAGTCGGCCACTCCCTGGGCTCGTTCCCCGGTTGGCCACTCCCTGGGCCCGTTCCCTGGTCGGCCACTCCCGGAGTTCGCTCCCCGGTTGACCACTCCCCGGGCTCGTTCCCCGGGCGACCACTCTCTGGGTTCGTTCCCTGGTCGGCCACTCCCGGAGCTCGTTCCCTGGTTGGCCACCCCCTGGGCTCGTTCCCCGGTTGGCCGCTCCCTGGGCCCGTTCCCTGGTCGGCCACTCCCGGAGTTCGCTCCCCGGTTGGCCACTCCCTGGGCTCGTTCCCTGGTCGGCCACTCCCTGGGCTCGTTCCCCGGTTGGCCACTCCCTGGGCCCGTTCCCTGGTCGGCCACTCCCGGAGTTCGCTCCCCGGTTGGCCACTCCCTGGGCTCGTTCCCTGGTCGGCCACTCCCTGGGCTCGTTCCCTGGTCGGCCACTCCCGGAGCTCGCTCCCCGGTTGGCCGCTCCCCGGGCTCGTTCCCCGGTCGGCCACTCCCTGAGCGGCCGGTTAGTCGCCGGTTGATCTGAGCCCGTCCCGCCCCGCTTCCTTAATGTATGCGTCGTCCTTCCCGCCGCTGACCGATCGGGATCACTTTGGCGGAATGCCCCCATTAATACGGTCCCGGGCTGCGCGACATTTCCATGCGGAATTTCGTTAGCGCGCTCGCCCAGTCAGCTGGCTGGCCGGCTCGGGCGACGGGCGGGCGGCGTGAGACCGCGCTGACACCAGAGCTGCGGGCGTGCGGGCAGCCCCAGACGGGGACACGGTGTAGTTTAGCCGGGTTGGACCGCGCTGAGACCACAGCCCCGGGTGTCCGAGGAGTTACAAACGGGGACAGGGTGTAGATCAGCCGGGTTAGACCGCGCTGAGACAACAGCCCCGGGTGTCCGGGGAGCTACAGACGGGGCACGGTTCAGCTGGGTTGGACCGCGCTGAGACCACAGCCCCGGTTTTCCGGGGAAGGTGAGCAGTGGGAGGCCTGCGTATTGGGCCCTAACCCATTCAATCCGGTCAAAAACGGATCCCACCGTTCACATTTCACCAGCTTTGTGTTAAAGATGGGACTTCAAACCATGCAGTTTGTGGGCAAGAACTTGAGCTGATACATGGCTCATGTGTACACACAGCAATGTAACATACTGGTGGCTACATACGCCCACTTACCTGCGCCGAGGAAGACCGTTAGGAATAAGAAGATTTTCTCCATCGAACATATTTTCTGCCTTCGTCCGTCGCAATGGTGTATCCTCACGAACAAGACGACAGCCGATATGGCTGAAAAAGATAGTTACAAGGTGAGCGGCACATTTAGTCACATTCCTCGGCTGGTGTATGTGTTACAAGGTGTTGTCGATCCTTGGCATTTATACTTGGACATAGTGCCAGTAAAAACAAGCCCAATATTTCACTGCCTTCAGATACAAATAGCAATACAAAAAGCTTCTCAAGCTATAAACGTGGTGAAATGCGAAGTTTTTAGGTGTTAACCAGCATGATTTGTTTATGATCGCAAAAACTTCTCTGCCGGAAGTGATGCAAACATTTTTAGAACAAAACGGTGCTAGCAGAGAGCTCAATCCACAAGCCTGACGACGCGTTCAGAAACCTCTGCAGTGGTGCACTAGGTAAGGCTGAGCACCTACGTACCGCACTCAGCCGACCAACGAGTTATAGACCTATTCTCTGCGCGCTCCTCAATGCCCCCATTTCGGGCAAAATTGCGGAGGGGGCGATTCCGTCCTTCAGATGAGATTTTGGCAGCTGCCGGGCCGTGCAGAAATCCGCGTGGCATTTCATTTACTTCCATGTGATCTTCATATATAAAAAGGCAATCTTAAGAGTTCTAAATGGAAAACAATACGTGGGGAACGGCAGCACCTAAAAATATAGGCGCATTTAATCCCAAACAGTTATCACGCTTCTCAACCCATTTCGACGTAGCCACAGGAGATCGATAAAAAATGATTTTTTAAAATGTCTTATGACGGTATTTTGAACTTACATTCGTGGGCACAGTTGGGAGATGTAAAGCTGTGTGACAACAAAAACTGTCAAAGCAGCTTAATACTTCCAACTTTCAACTTCCAACTACCGGCTTTCCAACGGAGGGGAGTAGAGGCACATGATTGGAGCGTGGCCCTTTACCGAGGTTGTCAGCCGACGGTCCGCTGTTGGTGAACACGGTCTCTATGTACAGCAATCCCACCCACCACTTTGTATCATTCCTGAACTCGCATCTGGCTTAGTTTCAAAGATGCAGTTTCTTGCACAGAGGCTGCAGATTGAATGTGACTTATTTCAGAGATTTTGGTTCCAGATCACTCTGGGCTCCGTATTTCCAACCATAGAGGCGCTCCTGCGGAAACATGCTGATTTTTCTCCCTCCAACTTCATATGTGCGAATATCTTCAATCCAAGCATCGACTGCCATATGTCGTGAGCATCATCTTCCATAGGTTATCCATTCATAGCATCGTATTGCTAGCATAGGTTTGGGACTATGTTCCTTTGCACCTCTCCCGGAAAACCTGAGCACGCCTTTGATAACGCATACCTTAACCCGTGTCCGGCCGGGGGTCTCAGACCTCGTCTGAGACAACTCAAGCCGGGCGCGGTTGTCTGAGAGAACCCCGCGCCTGGCCGGGTTCTGAGACAACCGCGCTCGTTCGCGTGGGGGGGGGGAGGAGTTGACCCCTCCCCTGGGATCTCCAACCCTCAGACGCTATTTGAGAAAAAACAAAGATATTGTTTCGAAAGTCTCGTCAAGTCATTAAGAACACATACCAAAGTATTCACCTCAGGTCAAATGTGAGGTCAGCAGATATAAACAAATTGTAAAAGTTTGCTCCGATAGATACAGTTATAGCTTATGTTAACACGCGCCCGGGTGGCCGGCTAGATGCCCTTCGCTCGGGTATCTCGGGAACTAAAGTCTAAGATCGCAGGAACTAAGAAAGCTGGAGACACCAAATTTGCAGGGTGTGTTGACCTGTACGTGAAATCACTTCGATCAAAGTTTGAGGTCACTAGGTTATGACCTTTGGGTCAAATAAGGTCAGAGAAGGCCAAATTTCAGGTTGGTCTCAAAAGTGCCCCAGAACCTAGATAACTGTTTCTAAGCAAAAGGTCACAAGCTCATTTAAGGTCAGTGACCTTGTTTGACTTTTTTAAGGTCATGGTGACCAAAATCACGCAAGTCTGCCTCGAATTTTGCATTTGAATAAGGGACAAAGCTTACGCTTGGCAACGTGTTCTTTAAAAAATGTCGACCTGGGTCATCTTAGGTCAGTGACCTATTATGACCTCTAAGAAGTCAAATGAAGATGTATAATGCGGTTCCTGCCATCAATAAATTCAAAATGAGTACCGGAAAATATCCCATACAGCAAGCCCTAGGGCATTAAAACAGGTTGGTTTTAACCTTGGTCTGACCTTCAGACAGGACCTTAGGTCAACTTAGTTTGCTTGTTCAATGCTTGTGTGCCTAATAAAGCGTCTCTAAGATGTATTACTTCGTCATACACTCCGTTGTTGCATCAGATTGAATGATTCCTTAGAAATTGACTTTGCTGAAATCACGGTCTGACTTTGACCCGCCATAGGTCAGTGACCTTACAAGGTACATCTAAATTTGATACACAAAACAATCCACTATTCAATTGTGAACAGCTAAGCAAAATTTGGCGCAGCTAGGCCGCGCCGTTCAGAAACCATTCTGGAAAAAACCTTCGGGGGGGGGGCAATTTGACACCCAGACCCGAGCGCGTGTTAGCACTCAAGATGGATAATGAGGGCACAGAAATAAACGTTAAGATTGTGGGGAGTCCATTCCGGCCATTTCTACCCACTAACATCGGTCAGGCTAGATCAGGTCACTGTTCAAAACTGGTCTACCAGAGGCCTACAACAACAACGTTTTTTCTTCATAATGTGCGTCTAAGTTTAATTTTATTAGATGCGGCTGTGGGACAAAGGAATTCTAGGCATAAAAATACCATTCCGAGTCTATGTGACCAGTACACTGCTTTCCCGTGGCCAGAAATAGTGTATTGTACATCTACAGGTACTCAAAATCGCTTAGCTGTTATTTACATTGTGCTTAGTCCCCTCGACGCTTTGCAAGGTATTTGCAAAAAAAACTGAGAACAGACACGCTGATGCATAAAATTAGACGTCATCAGCTGCACAAACACGAGAAGGAGGTGGGCGCGCGCGCCGCACTCGTTCATCTAGCCTCTCCGCTACCGGCAACATAGGTCATTGACATTGGATGACCTCATATGACCTTACATATTCTCACATAACCTATTGCGACCTTATTCTGCATTAAGATATCACTACATGTTTTTAGTAGAGTCTTCGAATTCTGCGTTCAAAATTACATATTAAAACAGCACATTTCGAGCCCAGCATGTGTTTTACAAAAAAAAAAACACATAGGTAGATCATAAACTAGGCCAAGGTCATGTGCTATGTGGTCATATGATGGCTGTGCATGTAAATTAGTACTCTTTCCTGATATGCAAACCACAAAACTACACACAAATGCGTACAGATTTGCATTATTTACGAAAAATGGCAAAAAGTAACCAGACTTCGGGTCGCTGGCCTCATATTTCCAAAAATCTAAAATTGACAGTTATAGACACTACTTATGCTCTATTTTATAACAAGTTTGAGCATTGGCAAATGACCCACACAAATTTTAAGTGGTTAAAGTTCTTGAGAGGTTGACTTACTTGATCTGAACTAGGTCATTGATCTTGCTGGATCAAAACTTAAAATTGCCACAAAGGACTCCACATTGATAGATGAACAGGTGATGCAAATGTCATGTTGTTGCGAGTGTTCGTTTTTGACTTGTTTTAGAAACAGGGGGAAGTCCACATCCCCTGGTGGATGCGGGTTGATAGTTAGCGAAAACACTGTCTTTAAAACATCTTCTTTTTCAAAGCTTTGTACCTAAACACCCATAACCATCCGTTGTTCACCAGCATTGGTGACCCGTAATGCATTTCACACTGTTTGGAAACTCCCATAACCAAAACCATGTTGTAACTGTCATATTCACCGCAGGCATTAGTTTCTCCTACTAACATAAAACAATGCGTATAATTCCCGGGAGATCACTGTCTTAGCATCATAGTCACGTGAGGCCCATCCCAGTACCGGGCCCTGGAATCGCCTCGGCGTGTGTCATTGATCTGAAACTTTAAAACCATGTGGGAGAAGATATTTCAGAAAAATTAGACCATTTCAACAAATTGCTGCTAAGCATTTTGAAGAAACCAGCGAAAAACCTCAGGGTGAAATCCGCCCCACCCCCGCTGTGAATCGGGTTAGTTTATGCAATTTTAAAGGACCGACACCACGTTTTCCAAATGTCAGGGAAAGGACGGAATGATCTCAGCCCGTCCACCGGCAGTTCAGGTCGTACTGCCGCCTTGCGCGCATAGACACCACAACGCGGCCCGTGACCTGGCCGAGCGTCGGTCCGCGGCTGGGCGCTATCTCGGCCCCAGGCCGCGGCGGCGGGCGCGGCCGGTGCAGCCGACCGGCCACCAGCCGCTGCCAGTGACAATACCGTCGCTGACCAGGGCATGCGCTGCCGCCGCGAGAGCTCCTCAATATGCCCGATCGATTCGCGCCAAATCCCCCGGGGCACAGCGTGGCGGTGGCGCGCTTTCGCGCCGCGCGGCGCCGCGCGGCGGCGGCGGCTGTGCGGAGCGGCGGGGTCGGGCGGTCCCGGCCAGAGAGCGTCCTGAGGTCATCTGTACACGAAAAAGCGGGCTCCAGCACAGGGCTTCGCGTTGCATTTCGCCGCACGCAAATCATTGCATTAGGTATCTTAGTACAATATTTCTTTGTACGCAAATCTGCGTTACACAACATTCAAATACACCGACGAAACAAGCGATCCTGCGAACAGGCTGTGATACACACGCATGAGCAAAACGTCAAGTTTCTCTTGCCTAGAAGTGCAAATCTTTGTGAGCACTAAACTTCGCAAGATAAAATGTTTCTGGCGTAAAACAGCGTATACGCAATTCAGCATATCATATTTCTTCACACATATTCATACGTATCGTAATCGTTGAAGCATGCAATGCTTTGTGTATGGAATTCGTTGCAAAGCTATTCTCCGCATACAATTTTGCCATTATGTTTATCGCACCGTATTATTCGCATCGTATATTCGTATTGTGTGCACTTTGAATGGCGATTTGTTTGCATGCGTGTCATTGCATGCCTTTTTTTCTATGTGTATTTCATCG